GAAACTCAAGTGCTAACACTGAACACATGAGCCCAAGAACCAGAGGTCCAAGGGGAAACAAATGCCCTGTTTCTGCCAGACAAACGTTGTCAAATCTATGAACATGCAAATATATTTATCTCAAATGAGTTATAAGGAGAGTCACACAGGGTCCAAAGCCACTTGCAAAAGATGGCAATCGGTTTTGGAGAATCTCACACATATTAACCCAAGGATCCTCCCTTTCTGCACAATCTAGGAGATTTGGAAGTGTTCTGTGAGCAATGTGCTTTTCAAATGAAGCCCAGTACAAGCTTTTGATCTATATAGGATAGTATGAAGCCCAGTACAAGCTTTTGATCTATATAGGATAGTATGAAGCCCAGTACAAGCTTTTGATCTATATAGGATAGTATGAATTCATACGCAGTACTGATGAATTGACAGTCCACATTTAAACATTCCCCTCACGTACACAATCTGGATTTATGATTTTGTTTTGGTGCACACATATCCTTTGAGTTTCTACGTATATGACACATGGAGAGGCAAGGAAGGAACTCCTGGTAATTTTTCTAAGGCTGACACCCAAGTGTGATCTTGACAGCTTTGGGGCCATTGTCATATTTTTGACAAGCAATCGCTGTTACAGAGGGAGCTAGTAAAAATGTTTCCCTGAACTCATCGTGGATTGCAACAGGAGGAAGCACTCCATCACTGGAAAGTGACACTAATGCATTCTATTAGATTTGCTTATCATGTTAAAGAGCATATTAAAAGGAAATGTTTGGAAAAGAGATGCCATAAGTTGGTATGATGGGTTGAAAATTCCTAATTTGGAAAAAATGTGCTAAGACAACATGATTGATGTGAGTGACCTACTTTATTTCATAAGAAAGTATGAGTTGCCTCGGGCCCATTGGTACACATATTTGGAAAAAGTTGGGTTTTTTCCACATTAAGTTTTTATTAACATTTTCAAAAGAGCAAAAACACCATAGAAGGATATAAGTTGTAACTTGTCAATGCAGATGTGTTTGTAGTCATTTGCTGCTGAGAAAAACATATCCCCCTTGCTGGAAGGGTTTCTGAATTAGGTGAGTTTCTTGCCAAGCGAACACTTGATGGGAGAAATATGAGTCTTTTCCCTGATAAAAAATGACAGGGAAGAGGCGTTTTTATTTAAAGCACAAATGACTCTTCTGCTACTTGTAGGTAGTGATCTCTTAGAATGATTAACATTTCATGGAGTCTCCCGGCCACCTTTCTGTGCAGGCAGCAAAGGATTGGGGCTGAGTTAACCATTTTAGTTCTGCTTGAGAAGATAGAGTTCAATGCCCTGATCCTGTTCCTCAAATGAAGCCTCTTGGTTTGGAAGTCAGGAGCTCTTAGGTTTATCTCAGGCAATGGAAGGGACAGCTGAGGGTCCAACAGAGGGTTGGTCCTGTCAAAACACTCTGTTACCATTCAATCAGTATTGCCACTGAATTTAAGACCTCAGGAAATGCCTACGGTACAATGTTTACTGAAGACAGTAGGATTAAAAAAATATATAGGCCTGGCACAGTGGCTCACGCCTGTAATTTTCTACATTAAAAAAATAATAAGAAGAAATTAGCCAGGTATGATGGCACATGCCTGTAGTGCCAACTACTTGAGAGGCTGAGGGAGGAAGATGGTTTGAGCCCAGGAGTGAGTTCAAGGCTTCTGTGAGCTATGATCATGCCATTGTACTCCAGGCTGAGTGATAAAGCCATACCTTGTCTTAAACAAAACAAATATCTTAATAAGTGGAAGTGGGAGAATAAAGTGAAACAAGTTTTCTGAAATGCAATTTGTGAATTTGTCACCAAAGCTTTAGATTGTTGCATACCTTTGGACCTAAAAGTTCCACTTCTAGAAATTTCTTCTAAAAAACAACTATGAATATTTACAAAGATATAGCTAATAAGATGTTTACTATAGAATTATTTATAATATTAAGAGATAGACTCAACCTAAATGTCTGAAGTTAGAGGATTGCTTAAATAAAGTCATGCAATTAAAACAGTCATTAAAATGATAATGTATAATGTGTAAGAATTATGTGGGAGAAGGTTTGTAATATTTTATAGGAAAAGTTTTATATACAAAACATGCATATTACGATGCTATTTGAAAACTATACATATGTCTACTTAATTTTTAGATATCTACATATGTCTACTGAAGTATATTCAGTATATATTCTTATGTATATGCTGTATATATACATATACACGTGTATATGTATATATACAGTTATGTATATATTCTTATACTGTCTTTAACTATATGCATATATATGTGAAGGACATTTATCGAAATGTTAAGAGTAACTGTTTCTGAAGTAAGTCTTCCAAGGTAGTTTTTGTTTCTTTCCTTTTATATGTTTTCATTTTCTATGCTAACCATGGTTTACTCTGATAATAAGTAAAGCAGTTATTAAATGGAAAAATCCAAGAGATTTAACTGGTTACTTAACAGAAATAAGAGAATTCACAAGGATTACCAGGCATGAACTAGTTTTCTCATGTAATAGTAAACAGGTTAAAATATAGAATGAGAAATTATTCCATTCACTATAGCAAAACAAAACAAAACAAAGCATAAATCATCCACAAAACTGAAAATGCAATGACTAATTCATGCAAGAAACATCCAAGACCTATTTAGAAGAAAATAATGAAGTACATCAAAGAAAATCTAAATAAATTATTGTGTGTCTGGTTGGAATGACTAAATATTTTAAAGATTTCAACTCTTTCCCAAATTAATTCATACATTTGATACAATTCCAATAATAGTTCTGATTAAAATAACTGGGAAGTTGATTCTAAATAGTATCTAGGAAAACAGATACAGGAGAACAGTTTTCCTAGATGAAGAAAGATGAGAGCAGCCTGGCCCTATTGGATTTTAAAAGATATTACAAAGTCAGGGTCATTAAGCAGTATGCTAATTTTTTAAGGAATATCAAATATATTAATGAAAATAGAATGCAGAATAGAATAAACAGAAGAAAATATAAGAGTCTAGTATGTGATAAAGGTTGTATTTCCTGTCAATGGAGAAGGGTTATATTGTTCTGCAAATGATGTTGGAATAATTGGTTATCCATTAAGAGAAAAAAAAGTGGGTCTTCATGTTACATTCACAGGAAAAAAATCCAGATGTATTAAAGATGTACACATTTTAAAAAATTATAAAAGTTATTTAAAAGACTAAAACCAATAATTCCATAATCTTGAGAATGAGAAAGACTTTCTTGAAGAGAGATAAGCCTCAGACTCCATAAAGGATAAGACCAACAATTTTGCCTGCATAAATATTTAAATCTTTGGTATGAGAAACATACTATGAGCAAAGGACAAACTAGGAAAAAAATGCAACTTGTATGACAAACAATAGATTAAGAGCTTTACTATACAAAGTGCCGTTTTCAGATAAGAGAAAGATTATCATTCCAATAGAAAAATTGGGAAAATAGAAGGAAAGCTTTTTATAGAAAAAGAAATATGAACATACAAAAAATGCTCAACTTCGCTAATAATCAAACAATTTAAAATTAGAGCAATAAAATATGATTTTCACTCACCACTGTCAAAAGTTTTAAAAAGTGAATGATCATATTTAACGTATTAAGGGTGTAGAGAAATACTTTGATGCAGTAATTTCATCTCAGGGAATTTACTCTGTGTAAAGATTCAGAAAAGGGTTCCAAAAGTCTGGAATCCTATGCAGTTGGTTGAACAAATGAGGCCGACCCGTGCACTGATGGAGGAAAGTCTGAGGTGTATGAACACATGAAGAGAGCTGGTAGGAAAACAATATAGTCTTGTGATCCCAACTTCTGCTTAAGAAGCATACATAGCTATTTGTACATTTAAAAGAATTTTTATAGCAGATGTTCAATGGCAGTAGGATTAGGGGGTGATATGGTTTGCATGTGTCCCCACCCAAATCTCATCTTGAATTGTAGTTCCCATAATCCCCACATGTTGTAGAAGGGACCTGATGGGAGGTACCCAGTGGGAGGTAATTGAATCATGGGGATGGTTACCTCCATGCTGCTGTTCTTGTGATAGTGAGTGAGTTTTCATAAGATCTGATGGTTTTATAAAGGGCTTTTCCCCCTTTGCTCGGCACTTCTCTCTCCTGCTTCCATGTGAAGAAAGACGTGTTTGCTTCTCCTTCCGTCATGATTGTAAGTTTCCTGAGGCCTCCCCAACCATGTGGAACTGTGAGTCAATTAAACCTCTTTCCTTTATAAATTATGCAGTCTTGGGCAGCTCTTTATAGCAGCATGAGAATGGACTAATGGCGGGGGCGGGGTGGGAAGGGAGCCTCTTCATTTGGACTTTCTCCTCTTCTGTCATATTTAAGATTTTTATGATCATATATCACTTTTGTAATAAAAAGCAACACACATCTGGCAAATCTGCCTAGAGAGGTGAGGTGACTTGCCTAAGGTTAATAGCACATGAGGCCCAGAAGCCGCTGGGTCTCCTGATACCCAGGCTCTTAGTGCCCCCAAAGAGTCCCTTCTTCTTATTGAGGAACCCATGGGACCATGGCATAGCCTCTCTCTCAAAGGAGCCCACAAATGCCCTAAAAATGCTATTTGCAGCCTCCTGTCAGGCTGCAGATCACCCCATCCCCTGGGCATCTTGGATGGGAGGAGTTCACATATGCAGAATTGGGTTGATGAGTTTCAGGGTGGGACCAGTGCCCTCAGTAGTGGTGAGGCTGCGCCACCCATGCCAATGCCAGGTTGCCCACTTGCCTTGTAAGGGGTCCTTGGATGGACCCCTCTAGCCCACAAGTGGTGAGCTGGCCAGGGATTCCTTCCCCAACCCCCATGATTGCTTTTGCACCCACCATACTGGAAACCTCACACAACAGACCTGGCAAAGCAGGATGGGTCAGTTAGGAAGAAGGAAGATGCATCATTTCAAAGTACAACAACATTAGCTTATATCTTAAAGTGCTTTATAATTTACCTTTCTACCCATCACCTTGTTTGATCTTCAGAATCATCATCTGAGAGAAGAACAAGTGTAACTGTTATCATTCCCATTTCATGGAAGAAGAAACTGAGGCTCAAGAGGCTGAGTCATTGACCTGGTCCACACAGCAAGGAAGTGTGGAGAGAGAAGAAGAGGTTGGGTCAGCTTGGCACGAATTCTCCACTTTTGCCACACTCCCTCTTTTCCTCTCTCCTGGGGAAACCCCTACCCACCCTCAGCCCATGCAAGCATGTTCCCCTTAATCCAGCTTGGCCTTGACCAAGGGCACTATGGCGCTTCCTGCCATAGTACAGTTTGACTTCTGACCCCAGCCTATGACTCAGTGTCTACTGCACCTGGGCCTCCCCAGCAGCCTTCTGCTCCTTGGGGGATAAGACTGGTTGGGGAAATTCTCTGGAGTCCCCAGAGAAGGGCACAGATCTGAGGGTTCTCTAACTGAGGACACTGTCCTCTCCAGGAGAGCTTCTAACCACTCACACCCTGGTCTGTAAGGATGTGAGTGGTTAGAATTATATATCACTTTTGTAATAAAAAGCAACACACATCTGACAAATCATTCCATTGATTCACACTTGTGCTCCCACAATCTAGCAAAGCACCTGGCATACAGCAGGTGATCAATAAAAGTTTGCTGAATGAGTGAAGTGGCCAGAGGACCCCGAGTCCCATCACCAGTCCGCCTAGAACTCCTGTGACTTCAGGCCATCTCTGTCCCCAAGCTGAGACTCTTTATTCCCTCCTGTATATGGGTGTGAGTTAGTCTCTAAGGACCAGAAGTCACCCAGCAGAGGTAGAGGCTCTACTAGTATTACGTTTAGAATAAAGGGACTGGAGGAACAGAGTCCAGTTTTACCCAAGAGATCCAGAGGCAAAGAGTGGAGAGGGATCCCCACACATCTATTCTGAGTCCAGTTCTGAGAAACTATCTGAGTTTCTAGCAGACCCACCAGCTTCAATATCTTCAAGAATTTGATGCCACCACAAGCAGCTCCTTAAGGCCAGAGGCTGTGCCACCTTGCTTCTCTGTCCCCAGCACATAAGCAGGTGCATGTAAATGAATGCATGGATGGAGGGCTCCTGTAACAACTTGTCATAATAGTAATAAAAAGTTTAGGACAGAAAATGACATTATAGGCCATGTGGTTCAATTCCTTCCACTGGAGACCAAGAAACAGCAAAGACTTGTCCAAGGTCACAGAGACAGCCAATGGAAGAGATTTGGGTGGGATACATTAGCTGGTTTTCAGGGATCAGCCAAAGCTAAGGCCAGCTTGCTTGACTTGGTTCAGAAACCAGGGGAATCCTGTTGGGAGCCACTCCTCACACACTAGAACCCCCACATTGGCTCCACCCAAAGCTCAATTACTGCTGGGACAGGCCTGATGCTCTCATAATGAAGTCATATCTATCACAAAGATCCTTGAGGCTACTTAACTGTGAAATAATTACATGTGCCTCAGAACTGGGAGATCAAGGATTTCCATCCAAAATCCCATGATGCTCTTAAAAAAGGTTTCACTATAAACTGCAGGAGGGGTGGGGAAAGGCGAGATTTTCAAGCCATGTTGCCATGTTTTAATTCCACCTTTTATGTGTTGGCATCATCCCATCTATGTATATATCTCACTCCATAGACATATTAAAACAACATCAAAGGAGATTAAAAGAGTAACAATTGTCATCCATAATCATATTACTATAACTAAATTATACCCACATGCATGTATCTGTCTCCCTGTTCAATTATGAAAGCAATATGTGAATGTATTCTCATCATCAGAAATCAAGAAGTATACATTGTAGTCAGAATAAGTACCAGGACCACACCAGTTCCTGCAAGTTCCACTCTCTTCTCCTGAAGCAATGCAGTTGTCAGATTGGTGTGTATTTTTCCAGAACTTTCCTCTGAATTTATATCTACATATACACATGTAACTATATATTAGTATGTGAATACACACACACACACACACACAAGCACGAACAAGTAGTATTTATTTTAAGCATTAATGGGATCATATCATGTATTGTCCCGGAGTTCGCTTTTTCTCTCCTTAATAGGTCTTGGAGGTCTTTCCATGACGCTATAGTAAAAGAGCCACTTCCATCTTTGCAATAGCTATATTACACAGTTTTCCATAGTATGGAAACATGCTTTTAAAAAAGTCCCCATTAAAAAACATTTAGTCCCCCGGGTTTTCCAATATTTCAAACAGTGAATATGTATGTATAGAGTATATATATACACTCTCTCTATATATATACACTATATATATACTATATGTAACTGTATCTATATAACTATATATATAACTACATCTATATAACCGTGTGTGTGTGTGTGTATGTGTGTGTGTGTGTGTGTATATATATATATAGAGAGAGAGAGAGAGAGTTCAGCCTTAAGCACTGTTTCTCACATGGCTGATCAATCTTTTTATTCATGTCTGCACACCGTCCTGCTGGGGAAATGTCAGCTCCACCAGGGTAAAGATTTTGTCTGCTTTTCTTCGTGCTATAATCCCGAGTGCCTGGAACAGTGCCTGGCTTAGAACACAAGAAATATTTGTTGAATGAAGACCAGCAAGGGGAGAACATAGCTGCAAACTATTTTAACAAATAATGCTCGTCTAATGCCTGCATTTTCCAAAGGCACTTTGACTCCCGAATCACATGCTACCTGCAGAACGACTGTGGGGGCTCAGTAGATCCTGCATTGTTAATACCCCGTGCTGAATTGTGGACTGAAGTCAGGGCTTAGGAATCAGACAGAGAAAGGTTCAAATCCTAGCTCTGTCACTTTCTCTGTGTGTCTCTGGAGAATTTACTTAACCTCTGTGAGCCCCAATTTTTTAATCTGTAAAAAAATGGATATACATACCTTCCCTTGAAGAGTTTTATGACGATTAAATGTGATATTATATGTGAAGTACCTGAAATACAGTAAGCACTTAATAAATGCTTGTTCTCTTTTGTCCCTTGCTCAGTATATTCTTTCTACCTGCTCAGGTCAATCACCCATGGCCCTCCTTGTAATGTCTTACTGTCTACCAATTACTGAAATACTTTACAGTTTTTCCTAAAAAATATCCTGGTATATCAGTTTTCCTCCACCCACAGGAGTTTCTTGGGAAAGAAACAAAAGAATTACTTTCTTGTCTGTGTTACTTAAATGTAACATCAGTAGCTTTTTCCTGAGCATTTTATGTTTATGGACTTAATCATGTTCAATAATATTTAGCTGTCTAGTTCCCCAACTGGTTCTCAAGGGCAAGGACCATGACTGACTCAATTTTTTAACCCTGTTAATTACAGGTCAATTGCAAATTTCCTTATAAATGGTAAATGCTCAATACTGGTGGAACTAATAAATGATCTGAAAATACTACAAATATCTGATTTTAAGTGATCCCATACGTTCATACTTCTGGGAGCACAGGGACTCCTAAACCACTCTGCTCTCATGATAGCACCCAAGCTGTCCTGAGTCAGCTTCATCATCCAGTGACTCATGTGGGGAACTGAACTTTTGTTTCTTTTCCAGTGTTGGGGTTTATGCTTTTTCCTTCCTCCATACTCAGTCAAATCCCCCTCTGGCAGTCCTTCTCCTGGGTTTACATACCTTTTAAACTTTTCTTTTCTTCTTTTCTTTTCCCTTTGAAATTGCAAGTTTTGCTCACCTCTACTCCCTTCAGATAATTTGAAAGTCAAAAAACAATCAACCCACCCCAACAGTGCTTGAGAAGTTAAACTGTATTGGTCTTATTGTAAAAGAAACAGACATTTGGAAACAGCATCAGATCCAGGGTCATTGTGCCCATGAACCCTGAAAGTCTCCCTAAAGGTCTTCATCTAATTCCTTACCCCATCAGCCCTCTCTGCTTTAAAATTCCTTTCCCCTTGCCAACCAACATTCACTTATATTTTTCTGTTTTGTTTAACTCTAACGACCTCTATCACAAAGCCTGTGAAGATTTTATTGTACTTACATATTTACAAGGTTAGCCTTCCTCGGCCAGCTTCTTGAGGGAGGATATCATAGGATTTTTCATTTTTGAATTTCAAATGCCAACACAGTGTCTGGCAGATAGGTATATTTTCGGGAAAAAAAGAATATTGTTTTCCTCTAATTTTATTTATTTTTATTTTATTTTATATTTATTTATTTATTTTTTTGAGACGGAGCCTTGCTCTGTTGCCCAGGTTGGAGTGCAGTGGTGCGATCTTGGCTCACTGCAAGCTCCACCTCCCGGGTTCATGCCATTCTCCTGCCTCAGCCTCCCAAGTAGCTGGGACTACAGGCGCCGGCCACCATGTCCGGCTAATTTTTTTTGTATTTTTAGTAGAAATGGGGTTTCACCGTGTAAGGCAGGATGGTCGCTATCTCCTGACCTCGTGATCTGCCCGCCTCGGCCTGCCAAAGTGCTGGGATTACAGGCGTGAGCCACTGTGTCCGGCCTCCTCTCTTTTTTTTTTTTTTTTTATGACACACAACCACCATCACTCAATACACTTAGGAAACACAGTTTTTCCTAAAGAATCTCCTAGTATATCAGTTTTCCTCCACCCACCAAGCTTAAAATTCTATACTTTTATGAGTAGACATTGAACAGATTTTTCAGGGTGGCATCTTGACCACCCTTTATAACATTGCTTCTGAGAGACCACATTCTGAGTTCCAAAGAGTGGCTAAGAAAGAAACTTTTGGAATCCTTTTTGAAAGCTAAGGCCTTTTACCTTCCTTCCTGACTCAAGCATGGATTCTTGTTACATTCCAAGGGACCCTCACCCCTATCAGGAAATGCAGTGCCTCACTGTGAACATGGCAGAGTGTCAGCATTAAAGAAGAGGGAGGCTGGCAAGCGGTGAGGCCCAGCAGGGCCTTAAGATTGTATTACCCCTTAAGGATCCAGCCCTCTTGGATGTACCTGCAACCTACCTGGGAGGACCTCTGAGAGGCTGGAATGGAGGGGAGCCAAGCTTGGCCTTCCTCTTTGTAGAGCTCCAGGTGTTGTGTGGCTAGTGTTAGCTCAGCATCTCCTGCTTTTTTGGTCAGTCTTTTGCTACTTCATCTCTCTTGTTTGTTTTTTTTGATATAATATATTTGTCCAAGATTTTTTCTTTTTCTTTATTAAGTATAAACACTTACAATAAAATACTTTAAAATCTTAGGTTTGATGACTTTTTGTAATTGTATACATCCGTGTTATCATCACCCAAATCAAGACATAGAACATTCCTAGCAGCCCAAAAAGTTTCCTGGGCCTTTCCCAGTCAACCCACTCCAGAGGCAAACACCATTCTGAGTTCCATATCCATAGCTTCGTTTTGCCTGTTACTTCACATAAACAGACTCACATAGCCTGTTTCTTCCCTTCCTTTTAGTCACTAAAACAACAACAATGTTGTTAGACATACCTAACAATATTAGATGTTAGACAAATGTAATAATAACAATATATAGGCATAACCTAATTCCTTTTTTCTCTCTCTTTCTTTCTCTCTCTCTCTTTCTCTCTCTCTCTCTCTCTCTTTCATTTTTTTTTGAGATGGAGTCTCACTCTGTCACCCAGGCTGGAGTGCAGTGTGGTGTGATCTGGGCTCACAGCAACCTCCACCTCTTAGGTTCAAGCTATTCTCCCGCCTCAGCCTCCTGAGTAACGGATTACAGGTGTGCGCCACCACGCCAGGCTAATTTTTTGTATTTTCAGTGGAGCTGGGGTTCACCATGTCGCCCTCCTAAAGTGCTGGGATTACAGGCATGAGCCACCACACCCAGCCCTAATTCCTTCTTTTTTTTCAGTTAACATCTCAAAATGTTTGGCAGTGGTGACCCCCAGGTAGGGGTAATTTGCATGTTTGTTATTAGTTTCTTTACACATTCTGGTATAATGTAAAAAAATTATATATATATAATTTCATAATAGTAAAAAAGCTTCTTCATGGGGTAGGAGAGCATGGCTTTTGTGAAGAAGTAAATAAGGGGTAGTTTGTATGATTGTTATTGACTTCTTTACACATTCTGGCATAATGTTAAAAAATATATATATATATATATATATAACATTTTATGATAATGAGGATAAAAAGCTTCCTGGGGTAGGAGAGCATGGCTTTTGTGCAGAAGTAAACAAGTGAGATTCAGAATGAGCCTGATGAGGGAGCTTTGGTTGTTCGAGGGCTGAGAACATCCTTCCCTGGCAGGCTTTTTCTGGTGGCAGGAGACTTCTTACAGTATCTCAGGATCAGAGACCCCTTGAGCCACTTCCTGTCTGCATTCTTGTTTATCTCTTTGAACATGGAACTATTTGACCAAAGAATTCCTTCTGCCTCAAGTTCTTCCTCTTGGATCTTAGCAAAGAGAAAACATTGTCTAAAGCGAGAGTTAACTGTACTTTGAAAGTCATGAAACACACACACACACAGACATATGATTGAAAACCCTTGATCACACATTTGAGTTTGAGTGATACAAGTAAGGCAAATGGTAATAGAGCAAAATATACCGTTATTGATAAAACCTACACACCATGAGTATAGGTCTCTGAGTATCATCTGACCACAGATAAGGGGCAACTCCTTGTTCTGTTTCCTTGATGGCTTCACAATACAGATGGATACATACATGGAAAAGGTATGAGTCTCAGAGAGGCATAAATGCAGAGAAAGTTGGATCCTGAAATAATATTTGCAGAAATACTTAAAACATGAAAAAGAGAAAACTTAGCAATTTCACAGCACAATGCAAGGTCTAACTTCATTGGTTAAATAGTCCCATATGTGGTAATCTACAAAGCTGGGAGACTTGGACTGGGACAGCCAGGGCTCTGTGCAGAATGGATGGGGAGTGAGCAACTTGTGCAACCTCGTTGAGTTCATTCCTGCCTCTCTAAGTGGGGTAATAATGACAGTGTCTGTCTCATTCAGAGTTGGAATAAATGCTCTGGAGGGGATGTGGGATCCAGACTCTTTATCCTATGGTCATTGACTTTTTGGAGGACTAAAGAGCAAAGTGTTGTCTTTTTCCTCACCCTGTGACTTCCTCTTTGGGGAAAAGTGGGTATTTTGATAGGAAATCAGATGTAGGGAAGCAGAAAACCTGTTAGAGTCAAAAAGACCTGGGTTGGAATCCAGACTTCCTCATTTACTACCTGCGTGTGTGACCTTGGATGAATGTCTTAACATCTTAGCGCCTCCATTTCCTCATATGGAAAATGGGAATAGACTTCAATGGATTCAATGGATTTCTGGGAGGACTGGATGAAATAAATCCTTGTAATAGGAGCTCAGCACCGTAGATGGGACTGGTACTATCACTGATAGAAATGAATTATCTCTCATGTGAGATACCCTGGCAGCAGATGAGAAATGAAACATAGTCTATCTTGCTTTCGGCACACCCGGGCAGCTGCCCTTTAAACCAGGATCATGGGGGCTCAGAGAACAGGGCAGAAATAAGAAATGCTGGTGCTAACACAGAATAAAGTTCTCCACTACACCAGGCAGGGAAGAGATGGATCACCTGGATGCAGAAAATGCTGCAGACGGGCCAGATGTGCCCAAGCCCATCTGGGGAAGACCCACATCCACATGGTTGGCACTGCAATCCACTCCTCATCTGGAAGGCCTGCTATTCTGTACGTGTTCAGACGCCTCCCAGTGCTGCCAGGGCCAGAGACTGCAGCCATTGGGGTGAGGAGAGTGGGTTGTTTTATTTTTAGCAACAAGAAGACATTCTCCTCCCTCTTCTGATCTCAGCCCCTCTACCCACTTCCCAGCTCATCCCAGCAGATGCCTGGGAGCCCCTTCAGGGACAGAGCAGGGAGGTACAGTCTCTACTTCTCCACACCCACAACAACCTTTCCCAAGGCTGGGAACTGGACCAGATCCCAAGTGGGCTCTGGGCCTCACTGAACCTCAAGTTTTGCCAGAAGTGGGGAGCCTAAACTGCCTGTTCCAGGTTTTAGCCAAGTTTCTTTGTTTTGTTCTACAAGATGTTCACCAGGTAACCGTTGGGGGGGGGTTGCTCAAATAAACAGCCCATGGCATCCTGACAGTCTCCTCTCCCCTCTTGCCCCCTTCGCTGCGCCTACCCTCCCCCACCTCCCCCACCTCCCCACCTCCCCACCTCCCCTCCTCCCCACCTCCCCTCCTCCCCACCTCCCTCCTCCCCCACCACCCCCACCTCCCCACCACCCCACCTCCCTACCCCCTACCTCCCCACCTCCCCTCCTCCCCACCTCCCCTCTCCCCTCCCCCTCCTCCCCACCTCCCCACCTCCCCTCCTCCCCCACCACCACCCCACCTCCCAACCTCCTCCTCCCCTCCTCCCCCACCTCCCCACCACCCACCTCCCCACCTCCCCTCCTCCCCAACTCCCCACCTCCCCTCCTCCCCACCTCCCCTCCCCTCCCCCACCTCCCCACCTTCCCACCTCCCCCACCTCCCCTTCTCCCACCTCCCTCCTCCCCCACCTCCCCTCCTCCCCACCACCCCACCTCCCCCACCTCCCCTCCCCTCCCCACCTCCCCTCCCCTCCTCCCCAATTTCCTTCCCCTCCCCACCTCCCCACCTCCCCTCCTCCCCAGCCCAATTTCCTTCCCCAGCTCCCAAGTCTCTGAGTTAGCAGCCTCCTGTTTATTAAGCTGTAAAGTTAGGACGGTTCTCATTTCTGATCTTTTCGTTGGCTACACCTGACTTCGTCTCTTTTTTGCTTTTTCCCCCCACCTCCCTAAACTAAATCACTTGCGCGGTTCTTGCCTTTTAACGGAGCGATAGCGTCAGGACATCTGAAATTCCGACTTTATTTTCCTCCAGCACACCTGGCCCCTGCCCTCCAACGGGAACTCCCGTCTGCTTGCTTATTTTAGCTCTCAATTGGTATTAAAAGCAGACTGTAGTTGGGACCATCTGATCTGTAAACGATGCAAGCCCCGACAGCTTTTCCTAGTCCGAGGTCGGGGCGGGCGGCCGCGAGCTGGAGCAGAGGACCTGCGGGAGCCCACGCAGCGCCTCCGCTCTGCCAGGCCCGCCCGCATCGGGCACCTAGGCTGGAGCCCCGAAGTTTGTTGTCTGCAGCCCGGAACCCGAGGTGAAAGGCTTCCGCTGAGCTCCCTGACACCTCGGCGGAGCATATGCTGCACTCCTCACATTCATTTTTAATTTATGACATCAGTTTAGGGATCACTGGAGCCTCCAAACGGCTTCTCTCAAAACCAAAACAACCACCATAACACAAGCGAGGACAGGAGACGGCCACGGAGTCCAGAACATCAGCTCCTCTGTCCCCCGGGAATAAACATTTGGAAAATCACTTTCCAATGGGGACCTGCTGTCCCTCACGGCAGCTACCTTCCCCCCAGCCTTGTCCTGGAGCCGACAGTGGATCCCAGGGTATTTTGCTATAAAGACATAGCTGGTCTCAAAGTGGCTTCGATTAGGACTTTATAAAGTTACATTAAAATGATCAAATGCGTACTTGCAGGAAGATTAAAGGCTCTCCCAAATACATTTACACACACACACACATATAGAATTGTATACAACATATATTGTATAATATTTGATAAAACATTATGTTAGATAAGTAGTATAACAATATTATATAGGAACTGGATGTTAAATATTAATTTATGATATGAAACCACATCATACATATTATATGTTGAACAGTATATAATACAAACGGACCATCTATGTTATAGATGGTACATACGAGACAGCATGTCCTCTGAAATAGCCCAGGTGCTGATCTCCTTGTCGCCAAGCACCAACTCAGTACAAGGCGCTGGAAGGGAAGGAGCGAAGTGCATCAGGGTCTCCCCATAGTGATGCAGTCACCCCAGCCCTCACCCTATCCCAGTTCCCCACACGCCCACGTGTCTTTGGGGTGGATGAAAAGATCTCAAACGACCAGCTCCTCATTGGGGTAAAGTAGTGAAAAGATTATCTCTGATAGAGGTCAAACTCCAATTGGGAGGAGGGCGCAAATTCTGTAAATGACACCCGAGGGCACACTCACCAGGTTCACTGCAAGCCCTGAGCGTTTTGCGTTTGGTGCCCCAAGTGTAAGTCTAAGTATTCTGTCTCCGACACGTAAAACAACTTAAAGTGCCATTTTCCAACGGAGGCATTTAGAAGCAATTTGAAAATTGAAACGAATCTTTATATGCAAGACTGGAACGTTCCAGAGGCCCTTTAAAGCTGCGGTTAGCAAGGCAGTTAGGGAACTCAATGATGGGCTGCAAGGAGACGATTGAACGCACAGCCAAATGCACAGTTAGAAATTTGATATTAAACACGCTCTCGCAAGTAATGCAGTTTAATGATAATTGCTGCGTGTTTACTCTTCACTGGCAGGGGAAATAGAAGAAACATTTTGACAGAAAAGTTACCCTAAAGAGTTACACCGTTTACAAGGGGAAAATATCTCAGTGGCCGCTGCTGGCTTACTAGCAACGCAAAACAGTGTGTGGGGCATTAGTTTTCCTCCAGAGCTACCGAGAAGGGGAAACCCAACATCAAGTGTCTGGCAGATGGGAGTGTGTGTTAAGTGAGGGCTGTTTTCGTTGGGAACGCACAGCACAGCTCCCTTCCTCCGAGCCACCTCCAGACCCCTCGGCCCTCCCACGACCCCCAGTTCCCAGGTCCGAAGTTCTGGGCCAGCGGCGGCCAGCGCGCCGCGCGAGCAGCTTTTATTCGCAGTCTCTTTAACTCGCCCTTTCCGGTTCTCTTCCCTTCGAGCGCCCTGCAGCGGAGTGTTAGACAAGCCCTGTTGTCTGTGGGCTCTCACCTCAGAGTCAATATTATCTCAGATGGGCACAATAGACTGGAATGAAAAGCTAATATTGAATCAATGCTGTCCCTGTCCGCGCCGCCGCGATGCCACCCTTTGTTGCGCACGCCGCCCCCGGCAAGCTGCTGGCGGCCGGGGCTAAGCGGAGGGTGGCCGCGGTCGGGCCTCTCCCGGTCCCCGCCAGGGGTGGGAGAACACTTCGGACCCAGCGTAGAGGAGGCCTCCGAGGCCCAAGCCGGCTTCGGCTGCTGCGGGTCCCCAGAGGCTCCCTCGGGCCTCACTCGCGGCCTCTCCTCCAGACGCCAGGGGCCTGCCACAAAGCCGAGGGCTCCGCATGGCCGTGGGAGAAGCCGGGTGCACTGAGCCTCCCCGCACCCAGACGCCGAGGGGATGCAAACAGGAGAGCCAGGCCTGGTATGGCCAACCTCCAGGCCCGAGGGGCCCCAGAATATGCGTGTGGCCGGGGGAGGGGGTAGCTGTAGGGGCCAGAACCAGAGGATTCCTTCGCTTTCCCCTGGGGGCTGGGCCCCAGGAGTTGCAGCAGAGCCTGTCTGTAATTAGAGCCTCCTGGTCCGGCAAAGCTGCGGCTACTCCTAGAGAGAGTTGGGGTCTTCGAAGGGCATGCGATGGGGTCGTGGTCGCATCAGTGGTCGTGGTCAGACCCTTGTGAGCCCCTTCGGAAGCTCCCAGTCCCTGTCCATTCTTCTGTCCCCCAGCTCTCTCCGCGCAGACCAGGCAGAGCCGGGGAAGCAGAAGACGCCGGACAAGGGGTCTTGGGGCCGCCTCGCTGGCTGCGGTTGGAAGCACCAGTTTTCCTGCCCGCTGGCGCAGGCGCTGCTCTGTGGAGACCAGCAGAGGTTTCCCAGCCGCTGTGAGTCGCTCACGCGAACGACGTGGGGATACTGGGCACACGGAGTCTCAGCCGCCGCCACGCAGCGCCTGCCCTGCCCGCGCTTCCGTTCACTGGCAGCTGCGAGGCCACTAACCAACCTCCTCCCTCCAGTCCTAAACTCGGGGCTGGAGTCCGCAGGAGCTAAACCAGGAAGAAAAAAAGGGCAGGGCCTGAGGCCGGGAAGAGCGGCCTGGAGGACAACGGTGACCGGCTGCATAAGAGGCAAGAGCCAGAGTGACATTAAGTGGGTCCGCCTGGGCGAACCTTGCTGCTTGCACCCCAGCCCACCTGCAGGGCACTCTTCCCCGCCTTTTCCCCTTGGCTTGAGTGCGAGAGGCTGATTCCTGTGGGCGGGGAGGAGAGGGTGGTCTTCCTAGGGCTCCAAGTGAAGTGAGCACTGCACCCATGGCTAGGAGGTGGGGGTGCCCCGAGTGACTTTTGTAACTTCCCTAAGCCTCAGTTTTCTCATCTGAAAAGTGGGTATCATGACTGTTTCCCTAACTCACCACACCAGATTGTGATGTTCACTGAGATCATGGGCTTGAGCACACATACTTAAACAAAAATGCTAAAACTCGATACAGGTGAGAGGAATTGTTAGCCTTCTTGTAAGTCTTGCCCCAATCTTCCCCACGTTTCAAGGAGGGCCGCAGAGTCCAAAAGAAGAAACCTACAGTTTCCTTTTTTCCTCAGATGGCAGGATTTCCTCTTCAAGTCCAAGCCCAGCCCCCACGTCCAGAAAATGGGGAAATACTAAAGGAAGAGACGATTAAGTCCCTGAGAGAGGGGCTCCTGGGACGCCAGCATAGGCTCCTAGATGGACGCTGACAAACCCAAGGAGCGCCTTACATTGTCGGGCAAGGATCAGACTCCAAGTTAAAAGACCGGCCGGGCCATCAGTGGCAGAGAGCAGAGCCTCAAACACGAAAAGCCAGAAAGTGCTGCAGAGGCGTGGAAGGTGCGCCCCGCTTCCGCTCCCCATGCTGGTCCTCTGGGAGCCCAGGAGCCGGTGCACGCTCTGGTGGGCTCATAGTTTGTAGCTTTGGAGGCGATGGGAAGGACTTGCCACGCTCCCACCCAACCCCCATCCCGAGAGAGTGCAAGGGAGATGCAACTGTCTTTATCCCTATCCCCGGCAGGCGCCCAAACTAGAGTGTACTTGTTCCCAGCTCCTCCACCACCGTCTGTGTGTACGTCTGTCGGTCCCTCCCAGTCCTTGCTTGGTCCTAGGCTTTCATTTGAAGGCAGCTGAGGGAGAAAGAAACTGGCTCTGTTTCCTCGCTTTCAATAATGAATCGAGACAGCGTGTGTGTGGTGAGGGAGTGACGAGTTTCAACG